ACGGCGATCCATGGAAGCTGTTTCGGCTGGATATACCCAAGGGGACTCCTCCACGGAAATTGTGAATGTTGGTTTTGTTTTTAATATGTTGTCTTTGTCTCGTTTCCCCCCTTTCCCTTGTCTTTTGTGAGCCGCCCGGAGTCCTCCGGGAGTGGGCGGCATACAAGACAAACAAACAAACAAATAAACAAATAAACAAACAAATAAATAAATAAATAAATAAATAAATAAATAAATAAGGCAGTAAGCAGGAGACATTCTCAAGAATCGAGGCTCTGTATCTCGGAGAAAAGGAGAGGCACACCAAGCTTTGGCTGATGCTATCCAAGCAGATCAGTTGCTAGGGGGGAGGTTGGTAGGTCTCATCCTGAGCTCGCTTATTTGCTGTTTGGTTGGGCGCATTTATAGATGTCAAATCCTGGAGTGCACCGCAGAGTGAAGGAGTGGTGAGGACGCTCAAAGTCTTGGTTCCCCCCCCCTCATTTAGGAATATTTCTAGGCCGCCTTCGTGCTGAGGAGAAAGCTTGAACGAAGGAATGTTATCTCAGCCTGGGGCTAAAATGAGATCTGAGGAGAGGCTCAACCGAGCCGTTCGGGAGAAATACAGCTCACACTCCCAAGATGGCACCCCCTAGAAGTCCTCGTTGACCAACGCAACAAGGATGGAGGCAATCAAAGATCTCTGAAGATCACAAGCTCCCGAGGTAGAGGCAAAGAGAAGCAAGCCTTCTTAAAGGACTTGGGAAACCAAAAAGCATTCTTCCCACCCCAACCACTGGAACCGATGAAGCAAAAAGTGGGGAATCTTTGCCAAACTATTTGGGCGAGTCTTGTAAGTCTTTTGGCTCAATGGATTGGGAGACCCACCCTCTTTCTGCACAGCGTGGAAGATCAAAGGGGGTGGGGGGGAGTTCTAGAAGACATTTACTGAATCTGGCCAAGCTGTGTCCCAGCATCAGGGGAGACCTTCATCCACGTCTACCACAATGGAAACAGGTGACTACATCAAGAGCTTCTAAGCCTCCGTGTTGTGAAGTATGACCATCCTGCAAAGAATCCAGGGTATCAGGCTTCCTAAAAATGCCCTAATTGATTCATGAGTATCGAGCCAAGTTTCAATACTAAAACTAGTCATGTATTAGGATCACCATTAGGCAAGGCCGACTTTTCGCAGTCAGATCTAAGCTTTGTTTGAGTTACAGCTGAACCTTACCCCTCTTCCTCCCCTCCCCTCAGTCTGTGTCATAAATCACATTCTCCAATGAGGTGCACCATTCCCGAGCCTGCTGCAGTCATCTGAGATCCGACTTTAGCCGAAAGTATGCATGGAATGCGCTCCCCACTTCTCTCACTATGGCAACTTTAGGAGTTGACACGGGGCCTTTTCAGCCAATGTTGCAACACCCCCCCCCCCCGCACATTTCTACCCAGGAATCAGCCTCTCTTCCTCTCACTGGGGCTTCCTTCCAATCCAGGCAGCCCTTTCCACAATTATGTCCATTTATCTTCTTGTAGAGAAGGAGGAGGGGTGATGAGAGCGTTTCCTTCAGCCAACTTTAACATGAGAGATAAATCCTCTAGCATTGCAAATGAGGCATGGGGGAAGCGAAGCATGCCACAAGCCCCCAGATTCCCAGCAAAGATCCATCAGAGGGATACATTTAAATTTCATTAGGCCACATGCCTGCGCCGGTTATTAAAGTAATATTTAAGCACCCTGGATGGGGAGGGGATACGGAGCCTTGGTCTCAACCCCCTCGCAGTGGGAGAGTTCTGAAAAAGCCCGTTTCTTTGATGTACGGTTGCATTCAGAGCTAGGTTTTAGGACCAAGAAGGGAACTCTTTCGGTTACAGAATCAGGGCTATTGAGAACTTTCTAAATCCCAAGAGAATCTCTTTAGCAGGGGTGGGATTCTTAGAGGCATAAACATTACAATCAGGAGGGTCCTTACCATCCACAAAGCTTGGGAAAGACGGTACCTTCTTGGTCTGTGAGGGGATAAAATTGATAAAAGAGGGATTGATCATTTTGAATCTTAATATCATGCCAGACAAGGAAGCTGTTTCTCCCTCTCTCCCTTTCCCTCCCTGCCTCCCTCTCCCTCTTTCTCTCTCTCTCTCTCTCTGTGTCTCTCTCTGTGTATCTCCCTCCCTCTTTCTCTTCCTCTCCCCCTCCCTCCACCTCTCCCTCCCTCTCCCCTTCCTTTCTCTCTTAGTCTCTTTGTTTTTCTGTCTTTGTCTCTGTCTCTCCTTCCCTCCCTCTCCCTCTGTGTCTCTTCCCTCCCCCTGCCCTTCCCTCCCTTTCTCTTTCTCTGTTTCTCTGTCTCTGTATCTCTCTCCCTCCTTCCCTCTCTTCCTCCCTCCCTCTCCCCTCCCTCCCTTCCTTTCTCTCTCTTTGTTTTTCTGTCTTTGTCTCTGTCTCTCCCTCCCTCCCTCTCCCTCTGTGTCTCTTCCCTCCCCCTGCCCCTCCCTCCCTTTCTCTTTCTCTGTTTCTCTGTCTCTGTATCTCTCTCCCTCCTTCCCTCTCTTCCTCCCTCCCTCTCCCCTCCCTCCCTTCCTCTCTCTCTCTTTGTTTTTCTGTCTCTGTATCTCTCTCCCTCTCTCTTCCCCTCCCCTCCCCCCTCTCTCTCTTTATTTCTCTGCCTCTCTATCTATTTGTTATTAACAGATAACATTACACTTCTGTTTTGATCAATTTAGGTCCCACTGCGCCCCCACCCCACCCCCGCGAGTGGTACATCCTACATCTACACACACAAACACAGGTGCAGGTGGACCAACAACATTTTGCAGCTTCAGAACAGCACAAAACAGAGGAGGAGGAAAAAGAGAGATCTACTTATATTCCAGGACTTGCCTCCGGCATATTATTGTTGTCGATGGGCCCATTGAGATCACAACGCTGTTGCTTCCTAGGTTGATCTAAGCCGTTGCATACCTACAAAGGGGAGGGGGAGAGAGAGAGAGAGAGAGAGAGAGAGAGAGAGAGAGAGAGAGAGAGAGAGAGAGAGCATGGCGATCAATAATGTAGGAGGAAGGGAATCAAT